CACAGACCAGACAAGGACTGAAGAGACTGCTAGGCCAGGGAACCATAAGGGTCCCAGCCTGGGTGGTGGGTCAGCAATAGAAAGTTCTAGATGTTTCTGGAGGTGACTGTGAGAGGGCCCAGCCCATGGGGATGGACGACAGGCTGAGCCAGAGTCCTGGGAACTCAGTTGGGTTCAGTGTGAGGGCCATTATGGCTGCTAGGGTTTGCCATCTTTCAGAGCTCCATGAAGAGGTTTCTGGGCAGGACCATGATCAGTGCCTGGGCAGCTACTGTTAAAATTCACCTCACCGGGCATGCTGGCCACGCCTTTAAGTCCAGCATACAGGAGGCAGAGGCAGGTGGATCTCTGTGAGTTCAGGACCAGGAAGTGTCTGGTGGCTCAGCAGGACACAGTGGGCAGAGATGGAAGGACATGGGGCCCTGGGGTGGGACATTAGCATGGGCTGCAAGTTCTGAGCGAGATGCATACTTAACCCTTGTCATCCAGAGCTTTGGAAGGATCTGGAGTGGGGAAGGCTGCATCTAGGGGGCGTGCTCAGCGTCCCTGGTGTCACTGCCAGTCACTGCCATCACTGCTTGGCTCTGCCCCTCGCTACCTATCTCTCCTGGCTTGGCCGTAGCCCAGCGGGGGGCACTTGAGGGCAGATGGGTCGTGGGGTAACCCCGTGCCTCTCGTATCAGCCATGTACTCGGTGGAGATCACGGTGGAGAAGGACAAGGTGACCGGGGAGACCAGGGTGCTGTCCAGCACCACACTGCTCCCCCGGGACCTACTCCCTCAGGGCGTGAAGGTCTACGAGGACGAAACGAAAGGTATGAGACGCCTGTGCCTGCTGCAAGAGCACCCAGCAGAGCCAAGATTGCCCCGCCCAGCCCTTTCTCCTGGCCTGCTCAGTCATTCAGAACTTGGGCTGTGTGCTGAGCACTGAGGTGAAATCTAGAGGCAGGTTCAGCCATTGTAAAGCTCTTACCCACCTCTCAGAGAGTTCAAGTGAGACGGGAGCTTCTCAGAGGTCCCCAGTTGCATAGCCAAGAGAAGGAAACAGAGCACCTGGCAGGAGCCACAGCTTGTGCAAGCAAAGGCCCTGAGGTGCGCAGAAGGCGGATACTGAAAGAAGGGCTGTGGGGACTGGAGAGATGGTTCAGAGGTTAAGAGCACTGGCTGCTCGTCCAGAGGTCTTGAGTTCAATTCCCAGCAACCACATGGTATCTCATAACCATGTATGATAAGATCTGGTGCCTTCTTCTGGCCTACAGGCAAGCAGAATGCTGTATAGATAATAAGTAAATTAAAGAAAGAAAGAAAGAAAGAAAGAAAGAAAGAAAGAAAGAAAGGAAGAAAGGAAGGAAGAAAGAGAAAGGCTTTGAGTTACAGGGAAGAAGGGACTGTGGCCTGAGAGTGGTGGGTGGCCTAAGTGAAGGGATGTTGGTGGTATAAGAGGAGATCTAGCCGGGCGGTGGTGGCGCACGCCTTTAATCCCAGCACTCGGGAGGCAGAGGCAGGTGGATTTCTGAGTTCGAGGCTAGCCTGGTCTACAGAGTGAGTTCCAGAACAGCCAGGGCTACACAGAGAAACCCTGTCTCGAAAAAAACAAAACAAAACCAAAAAAAGAGGAGATCTAATTTTATGTGTCTGTGATGCTGGGGACAGAAATCAGACTCCTAGGCAAAGGCTAACAACTAAGCCACGCCCTAATCCCTCACTGGAGGATTCTAGGCAGGGCTCCACCCCTGGCCACGCCCCTAGTCCCTCACTGGGGGATTCTAGGCAGGGCTTCACTCCTAAGCCTCCACCTCCCTCCCACCCCCTGTGGTATTTCTGGCTTTCCTGACTGGTTTTATAGGTGTTCTGTGACTGAGCTGTGGGGAAGTGATGTTGAGGAAACTAGATACTATTAGATTAGATATCTAATCTGGGATTTTTTTTTTAGCAGGAACCATAAAGTCAAATTGGTCCCCACCCCATCCTTCTTTTAAAGAAATAAATACATACCATATAATTCTCCTTTTACAGTTGATGATTTATGAGGTTTGGTCCCTGGTGTACAGAAATTTTACATACTTGCAAAACATTGCATTACCCCAAAGGAAGTCCCCACCCCAACGAGCTATCCCCCCCGCCCCAACGAGCTATCCCCCCGCCCCAGCGAGCTTTCCTCCGCTCCAGCGAGCTATCTTCCGCCCCATTAGACCCATGAATCTACCACAACCTCCTCCTTATGTGTCAGAGCGTGAGGAAGGACTATGCTGTGTATGTTTAGTACTGGACATGTTTCTGTGTGAACACACGCCTTATCGCGGGTGTGACTGGCGCGGGACTTGCTGGCCCCGATGGATGTGACCATTTATGAAGGACAGCAAGGCTGGTATCCATTGCACTGTGCCACTCCCAAAGTGGCTCCACAGGGCTCCACCCCGGACCATTCCACCCACTTCTGCACAGTCTCTCTGGGGACCCAGAACCAGCTAGACCGGACCCTGGTTGCTTGGTAACAGCAGGAGATCTGTTTCCATGGAGACTGATGGCTTGGATTCTCATTTTAGGGGCCCAGGCCCCTGGGAGAGATTTGACCCCACCCTTTGCACCTCCAGTGTCACCAAGAGGCCAGGGATAGGGACTCTCTTCCAGAGGGTGGGAAGCTAACATCTGGGGGTGGTAGCCCTGACTGGATCCCTGGAACCACCCTCTCTGCGCCCCTGCAGTCTGGGATCCCAGAGGAGTTTGCAAAGCTAATGTTCAGGTGTGCTCTGGGGCTGTAGACAGCTGTTCCCCTCGGTGAGGACACATTGTCTTTATTTAGCTTCCCATAACTCAGAATGTGACAGCTGCCCTGATGGTGCATGCCTATTGTTCCAGCACCCAGGAAGCTGGAACGGGAAAGCATGGCACTCCTCCTACCTCAGCCTCCTTGAGCGCTGGAACGACAGGTGTGTACCACAAGAGCTGGCTGTCGAGGTGGGTGTCTGCCTCAGCGTCCCAGCTCTGCCCAGCCCTGCCCCACTAACTCTCTCCTTGTGTCCCCACACAGTGGTCCATGCTGTGGACGGCATCGCTGAGAACGGAATCCAGCCTCTAAGTTCCTCCGAGGTGGATGAACTCATTCACAAGGCCGATGAGGTCACACTGAGCGAGGCGGGGTCCACAGCTGGGCCAGCAGAGCCTCGGGGACTCGCAGAGGATGTCACTAGAACCACACCATCCAGAAGGGAGATCACAGGAGTTGAGGCTCAACCAGGAGAGGCCACGTCAGGCCCACCAGGCATCCAGCCTGGTCAGGAGCCCCCAGTCACCATGGTCTTCATGGGATATCAGAATGTGGAAGATGAAGCAGAGACCAAGAAGGTACTGGGCCTGCAGGACACCATCAAGGCTGAACTGGTGGTGATTGAAGATGCGGCCACCCCAAGGGAGCCTGCACCACTCAACGGCAGTGCAGCTGAGCTTCCAGCCACCAAGGAGGAGAACCAGATGGGGCCCACGACCACACCCAGCGACGCCCAAGATCTTGACATGAAGAAGCCTCGCTGTAGATGTTGCTCTGTCATGTGAGCCATCGGGGCACCCCAGTCCCCGGTCCCCGTCCTACGCTCCACACTCAAACCCAACAGCCCGGCCCTCCCCGGCGCCTGCCCACCCTCACCCTCCACCTCATAGGCCCCAGACACGTGTGTGGTCCCTATGCACCTCGAGTCACAGGTAGGGGGGGTGCTTTGCCCGTCTCCACACTCACCCCAAACCTCTGAGCCGTGCGTCATCCCTTGGTGAGAGACAGGCCAACCCAAATCAGCCCCCCTAAGAATGAGGACCCCCAGTCCTGGTCACAGCAGGTTTACACAGGCGGCTTATGCCCACCATGGTCCCAGCCTGGTGTCCCCTTGCCGCCCCAGGCCAGCCTGTCTGTGCCTTATTGTTACTTCTGGGGAGTCTCCGTGGGGACCAGAAAGGGTCTCCCTGGCCAAGGCGCCAGCGGCCTAATGTGGGCAGGTGGGTGAGGCCATACTTCTTTGGAGACTCAAAGTCGTGAAGTCCTAGGGTGGAGGACAGGCACCAATGGGTCCCCTCCAGTAAGTAGCAGAGCTCAAAACAAGAGAGGCCCTTCACTGGGGATGGAATAATCACCCTCAAGATGGAGTCACTGTCGGTCAGCCACCCCTGTCCTGAGAACCCCTCCCCCACCATGCACACACTGGGCCCTTCTTCCTGGTGCTAATTTTGGGACCTTTGGGGTCACCTCTGCCCTCTTCTCTAGTTGGCTTGGACAAGGGTCCTGGGTTTCCCATGTACTCCCGTACCCCAGAAGTCTGTGGGTCTGTCTGCCAGCACTGCAAAGCCTAGCGTTTCCAGGCAGGTTTAGGTTGCTCCTCACACACCTTGGTGGGAGTAAGGGAACTCCCATCTGCCACCTGGCCTGACGGGAGCCTGGCAGGGAGTCACCAACCTTTGGGCAGACAGCAGTAGCCATTTTGGTCCCCAGAGACATAACCCTGCACACAGGCGCTGACTCAGCTGCGAGGGACCACGCCCGGTCTAGGTCCCTTTTCTTGGGACCCCAGCCTGGTGTGCAGCAGGGCGCAGGACCACCTGCGGGGCCCGTCACTACCCGCAGCTGCAGTAGGGGCTCAAGCAGAGGCCACGGGGTCTGTGTCCTGTCCTTCCCGTGGCCTGGAGGAGAGGCGCTCTTCCCTGAGGGTGAGCCATGGCCTTGGCCACGGCACCCCTCTACTTCCTCCTCCTCTGAGTCCGCCTGGGTTCCTCAAGCCCTGAGCCTCGGCTGAAGTGCCCTTGCTGTCCCCTTCTGCTTTTGACGTGTGACGAGGCCCCACCCTTCACCCCCATGTTCTTGACTTTCCCAGAGAAACAAATTAAAAAAAAAAAAAAAAAAAAAAAAAAACGTGTGCAGAGCCAGGTTGCTGAAGTTCTTGGGTTTCACCTGGGCGGGAAGGGGTGCGGCCTCCTGGTGGTGGAGCCATAAAAAGGCCAGCTCTGAGGACGCAGGGGAAGACTTCTCTCCCGTGTGGCCACTGCAGCTCTCAGGGTGAGTCCCTCACTGGGCATCTTCCCCAGGACTCTGCGGCACCTGGACAGGTAAGGGACAGCTGTGGGCAGCCACCCAAGGGCCTCGGTCTCCACATCTGCCACGCCCATGTCCTTGGGCTTTGATGTTGGGAGTAGAGAGGTCTACAGATAACCCACAAGATCTGAGCTAGGTTCTGCAGAGTAGGGGAGACTCCCCTCTTTTTCTCTCTTTCTGGTTTTAGAGAAGTTTCTCTCCTTTGGCCTCAGTTTTCTTTTTCTTTTTTCTTTTTTTCTTTTCTTTTCTTTTCTTTTCTTTTTTTTTTTTTTTGATTTTTTTCAAGACAGGGGTTTCTCTGTGTAGTCCTGGCTGTCCTGGAACTCACTCTGTAGACCAGGCTAGCCTCGAACTCAGAAATCCACCTGCCTCTGCCTCCCAAGTGCTGGGATTAAAGGCGTGCGCCACCAACCGCCCAGCTTGGCCTCGGTTTTCTTATCTGTATAAAATGGGGACACAGGACTCCTAGACAGGTATTTTAGACTTGAGAAAAAAGTCTGTAACCAACCTGACCTCAATCTCGCAGTAATCCTTCTGCATCAGTTTCTTGAGTACTGAGATGTCAGGTGTGTGGGCTCAGTCGGAGGCCTTTTCGGGACTCATGTTTCCCTGTGAAAGGTGGTCGGTATGGTGGTGTGCCTACAATGGAGGGAGAGAGGTGCTAGTTCAAATCCCGCCAACCCGTGAGACTGGATATGCCCTACACTTCAGTGCCCACTTATGCTAAATAGGGATGAAGGGGCCCAAAGGCATTCTGGGAAGAACTGCTATCTCACACCCTGGCTTTGACTGTCTCCTCCGGTAGGTGATGGGCAGATTGTTACCACATCTGCCAAGGGTCCCTAGAGTCCAGCTGGGGACCACTGACTGGAGGGAAAAGACAGAGATTCAGAGGGGGCCCACAAGCCATCCCATGGGGGGGATCAAGAACCCCAGCACTATGCTCAGGTCCCACAGGCCGTGGGCTGCCTGAAGCACTTGGATCCAGAGGGGATGGTGGGTGCCTTGACCCTTGCCACCTCATGGCACTGGGGTCTGCACCTGACCTGCGTGGCCAGTGTTCCTGAACATTTTACATGTTTATTTTTGAGCTTTTGAGAGAGGTCTCACTCTGTAGCCAAAGCTGGGCTCAAACTAATAGCAATCCCACTGCTTCAGCCCCTTGAGTGCTGGGGTGACAGGCCTGTTTCTTTGTACCTGGCTTTGCTGGGTATTTCTGAAGGCATCATTATTCATGTGAACTTCTGTGTGAATATGACAGGGAGAATTCCCATTTCCTGGATGAGAAAGCAAGGGCCAGAGGGTTGAGCAGGATCCAGCCAGAAGCCCCATGGACTCCTAGAGAACAGCACTTTGAAATCTCTGCCCCGAGTTTCCTAATCCTGCTGTAGCATCTGCTAGGCTGGAAACATCACGCACATCTGTCTTTCAGTCTACCTAGATCAAAGAGGGCATTGGTTGAAAGAAGAGACAGAGATTCGAAGGGGTCCCACAAGTTAGCCTAGGCTTGGGCTTCAGTCTCCTCGTTCCCTCCTCAGTCAGCAAGACTTGGGAAAAAGGTGGGAGACCAGGCAGAGAGGCTCAGTTCCGGCTCGGTAGGGCCACGGCCTGCAGCGGGCACGGTGCCCGCCCTCGCCAGCCTGAGGATCGTTTTTCTGTCTTCTCTGGACTTTGTTTCCCATGTCCGGGTGGGGACGGAGAGGAGGGGCACACCTGCTCCTGGGTGGGGCCTCCGTCCCCTTGGCAACATATGGCCAGGGCGGAGCCCAGGGGCCTTTCCTGCAGAGGACAGAGCCTGAGGCTGGGAGGTGGCCTGGGCACCTGGAGCTGGCAGGTGAGGCTGGGGACACTGGGAGTCCGGGAAGCTGGGAGGCTAGAGCTGGGAAAAGTGAGGCACTCACCAAAGGGGAAGAGGTTTGTTTGCGGTGTGCCTACTGGCAGGGTTGGCTCCCCTACAGGGGCCCACAGGGAATCCCCATCCCGGTCTGTACCTCACCACCCTTGGCCCTGGCTGGATCTCAGAACCTGCTCTGTCACCCGCTAACCCAAATGAAACCCTGAGCCTGTTGTGGATAAGGCTTCCATTTGTACCCAAATGCCAGAATACCAAACCCTAGTTCACTGAGAAAGAGGCTGGAACCAAAGACACCCTCGTGGCCAGAGATCTGTGAGGCTCCATGGATTCAGGGCCTGATTTGAAGAAGCCACCGGAGCCAGGCCTGAATGTACAAGCTCAGGCTTGTCCAGGCTTCAGGGTCAGAGGTAAGCCTTGACAAGTTTCTCCAGGGCTAGCTATCTAAGCAACAAAAAGGCCCTAAGGGATAGGAGAGAGGACTTCTCAGAGCACCACCCTACTAGGTGGTGGCCCCACCAAGGGGCCTTTGCCCCATGGGTAGGAGGCCATAGGCAGCAGGTGCATCCGCAGGGGCCATAAACCCAGTTTCAGTAGGGAGTCACAGTTCCAGGGTGCGGCTGGGTGGAGCAGGCTTCTTGGAGCCTTGGTGGTAACTGGGAAGGAACCGGCTTTGGAAAGCACGCCATCATCCTGGGAACTTCCAGCTTCAATTGTCTGTGCCCAAGCTCCTTCAGGGCACAGACAAAATTGGCCCTTGTCCCCGGTTCTCATGAGGCCTGAATAGGACATTAATATTTGAGGTGCTTGATGGGCCGAGGACTAAGAAGTGACCCCTATGGGGAGATGAAGACCTTGAAGGGACCCTTTGTAGCCAACAGGGCTTCTTCAGGCTGGCCCCTTAGCAGCCCCTGCGAGCCCTGATGGATCTGGAGCTTCAGTGATGAGATCTACAGCCAGGGGGAAGCATCTATTGAAAACTTGCTGTATTACCAGGCACCTAGAGATGACGTAGGTTTTATTGTTTTCCTTATTATTGTTTTTGGGTTTTGGTGACAGGGTCTCCCTATGTAGCCCTGGCTGGCCTAAAACTCACAGAGATCCTCCTGCCTCTGCATACCACTGGGGCTAAAGGAGTGGGCCACTACCCCCGGCAGAACTGTTTTATAGACCCTTGGCGAAGTTGTCCTGCCAACCAAGCCCATATCAGAGAGGGGCCCAGTGGCCTTGAATCCCAACCTGGAACTCCACCTTCTGACCTGAATCACTGGAGAAGAATGAGAACTCCACCTATGGAGGGGTGACATCCTTTCTCCAGAGGTCATGCCTGACTGTCAGAGGACAAGGGCCATAAAATACTGTATATAGATCAGTCAGCCTGCAAACATGGGTGCACAACAGCTCTGGGTTAGAGGATGGGTGGCAGCGGGAAGTCCAGGAACAGCAGGGTTCCTGGAGTCAGTCTTGATTAAGTACTTGCTGTATGTATTAGGACTATCCACCCACACTCAAAGAAATTCTTCCACTCTCAGAAGTGCTGTGGAAGGGGCAGGGGACCGATTACCCTCCACAGGACCGCTAGGAGAGTCGGGAAAGCCCAGCCACTTAAAATACTCTGCTTCAAAATACAAAACACAATGGATAGGGACAGGGTTCAAGGGTAGAGCCCCTAGAATCCCCCAGTGAGAGGCTGGGAGAGTGGTCAGGGGTGGATCCCTTCCTAGAATACCCCAGTGAGTAGCTGGGGGTGTGGTCAGGGGTGGATTCCCACCTAGAATCCCCCAGAGCCTAGGGGTGTGGTTCGCCTGCGTTCACTTGCTTGAGATTGGTGACCCTCTGGACTGTGCAGAGTCAGCTTGTGGCCTTGAGCACTGACTGAATGGGGCTCCTGAGCAGGCCTGCAGACTCTGAAGACTGGAGAAACAAAAGTGAAAGGAGATGTGAGTGCCTGGGAAGCAGCTGGGGGAAAGGTCGAGCCCCAGCTCACAAGTCAGTGTGTCACCTATGGCTCTGAGCCCCACCTAGGACCAGGGACAAGGTCCAGGGCACTCCCAGTTGTTCTTGGCTTTATGATGCTGAGGCAGGTGCTGTTGAGATGGGACCTGGTGCTCTTTGAAAGAGATCCAAGGCATGAGAACTGGGAAACAGGCTTTGTTACATGCGCTGAGCCTCAGTTTCCCCACTCGGTATCATCCATTGCCGAGAACCAGAGTCCAACAGCTGTCTGTGAAGGTCAGGTGCAAAGATCTGGGAATTAGTGTGAGGGACAAGACTGTGCCCTGGAGAGGGGGAAGGACCGTGGTGGGAAACCCATAGTCTCAGCTGTAAGGCTGACCTCGATTCACATTGCTGAAGAGACGTAAGGGCCAGCAGGATAGAGCACAAGCAGGCGCTCAGCCTGCACAAATTGAGTGAGTGGTTGTGCCTGCAAGAGTCACCTGGTAGGTAGCTGGCTGTGATGGTACCTTCCTGTCATCCCAGCAGTGGGGTGGCTGAGGCAGGAGGATTGGTACACCTGGACTACAGAGTGAGAGCATATCTCAGAAGGAAGGGAGGAAGGAAGGAAGGAAGGAAGGAAGGAAGGAGAAAAAAATAAAGAAATTAGATAATAAATCTTAAGTTTAGCGGGGCGGTGGTGGCGCACGCCTTTAATCCCAGCACTGGGGAGGCAGAGGCAGGTGGATTTCTGAGTTCAAGGCCAGCCTGGTCTATAGAGTGAGTTCCAGGACAGCCAGGGCTACACAGAGAAACCCTGTCTCGAAAAACCAAAAAGAAAAAAAAAAGAAAAAAAAACGGAAAAACAAAAAGAAAAACCAGAAAAACACAAAAAACAACAACAACAAAAAGGAAAGCATAAGTTTGTTGTGTGATCTGTAATCAGGTAGTTTGATCCAAGAGCTTAAATGTTTTTGGAAGATGCCATGTTGGGTTTGGGATTGCTGTCTAGAAGCTTTGCTTGTCATGGGGCTCCTGCAGCCCGTTGACACTGTCCTGTCCCCAGGTGACTTGACATGGTCTCTTTCTCTTCCTTAAGTGAGCCTGAAGGTCTCCAAACCACAGGAGGTGGAAGGTCACACACAGACCCTTTGAGATGGATCGAGTGACCAGATACCCCATCTTCAGCAACCCTCACTCAGCACGTGTCACCAGCTTGGCACTGGATGACGAAGATACCAGCTATACCGTTGAGCTAGTGGGCATGGGGCCTGAGACTGGCTGGAGCCAGGGTGATCTGCAGGCCTGGTCCACTGAGTACCAGACCAGGCCAGATGTGAGGCAAACAAACATGTCTCCCACCAGACGGGTCTTCTCTGGCCAGCAGGCTCCGAGGTCACTGTACTTGGAAGATGAGGATGAGGAGATGAAGGCTTACCACCTGGATGACAGCAGTGATGTCCTCTGCAGGCGGCCGAGGGACCTGGAGGCTGAGCACCGGGCAGTCAGGAAGGGTGGCACGGTGGCCACACTCCAGGCTGCATCAGACCATGGAGACCCCAGGATAGCCAGCCAGCCTCAGTCCGAATTCACAGAGGAGATCTTGGTGGACACGGAGCAAATTGATTTCCTGGCTGCTCGACAGCAATTCCTGAGTTTAGAAAAGGCAAACATGAGCCCAGTCACGTGGAGCCCTACAGCCAGGGAGACCTTTGCACGTACCCCACCAGGCATCAACCAGGCCCCCAAGGCCTCCGCTGGTCCCCACGTAGCCAATGGCTATGCCATTTCTGTCATGTCACCAATGAAGGAAGTAACCTTGGAGGAGTCTTTCCATGTTTCCCCAGCTACATCCATTCGTATAGCCAATGACCCTGTCCTCCAGACCCAAGCATTGTCCCCCGAGATCCCCAAAGAGACACCCATTGAGAGAGAGATCAGACTAGCCCAGGAGCGAGAGGCAGAGCTGAGGGAACAGAGAGGGCTTAGGCGGGCTTCCGGGCATCAAGAGCTGGTACAGATCCCCAGCAGGCCACTGCTCAGCAAGATGAGCCTGACGGACACACCCCCACGAAGAGACAGGGGCCGCCCGTCCCTCTACGTGCAGAGGGACATGGTGCAGGAGACACAGCGAGAGGAGGACCATCGACGAGAGGGTCTGCAGGTGGGCAGGGCATCCACACCTGACTGGTCTTCCCAGGACCCTCAGCCTGGGCTCCAGAGAAGCCTGAGCTCTGACTGCATCCTCAGCCCAGATGCCCGAGCCACAGACCCAGCTCCAGAGGCAAGGAAAATCAACCGGATCCCACTGGATGCCTACCAGCCATATCTGGGCCCTGGGACTCCCAAACTAGAATTCTCAGCCTTTGGAGTATACAGCAAGCCAAGTGGTGTCTCCACAGAAGACACTAAGACCACAGCCTTCCGGAAGGCCACAGAGTCTTCAAGGCACGTCTCAGAATCCTCTGGAAGATCTCTGAGCTCAAAACAAGAGTGGTCCAAGCCTCCTGGAAAGCCTGCCAATGGGGGTGTTGTGAGATTGGGGAATTTCCACCTGCGTCCACTGCGATTCAAGGTCCCGGATGTCTCCCAGGGGGCTGAGACCTCCCATACCTGGGGCTGGGAAGTGGCTGGAGGCCCTGTGTTAAGGCTACAGAAGTCACAGTCCTCTGACCTGCTGGAGAGGGAGATGGAGAGTGTCCTGCGGAGGGAGCAGGAGGTGGGTGAGGAGCGGAGGAATGCCTTCTTTCCAGAGGTGTTCTCACCAGTGCTGGACCAGGATGAGAGCCATGAGCAAGACTCCCGGAGCTCCTCCCGGGCATCGGGTGAGCAGGGATTGGAGGGTGGCTGGGCCTGGGCTGGAGAAGGAGAGTTGGAAGGCAGAGTTCAAACACACCCATTTCTCCCAGGAAGTAGATTTTGGGAGAGAAAAACATCAACTTTGCTTTAGAGTTTTTTTTTTTCTTTTGCTTTAGAGTTTTGAATGCTGTTATTGGGTGCATAGGATTTTACTCTATGGCTCTGAATGCTCTGTTCTGTTATGGGACTGTAAGTTTTCAAGTCTTTGTCCTCCGAATTGACTGCTCCTCCATGTAATGACATGCTCTCCCATCACTTGGTGGTGTTTTTTGGCACATAGTCTAGAATCTTTCCTGAGTGGCAGTTGTAGTCAATCTGTCACAGGTTGCCCGTCAGCCTATCTGTTCACCTGTCTCCATAACCACTCCAGACTCAAGGCTCTCGGCCTGAGACTGACAGTCCCTCTCCCTGTGCCACCTCCTTCTGCCCCCACCACAGGCTTCACCGGCAGCTATTCAGTGTCGGAATCACCGTTATTCACCCCCGTTCACCTGAATTCGGGCCTGGTGTGGAAGGTGGAAGCCCCAAAGGATAGCGCCCCACAGGAGCGGAAGACAAGGAAGGAGACGTGGGTGAGTCAGCTTGACTGAGGTGTGACTGGTCGCTACCCACAGGGTCAGGCAAGGCCATTACACTGACTGGATGTCTTCTCATCTCTGCTATCTAATCTAAGAAGACACACAAGCAGGCGACATTGTCCTTATGGTGGGATCGTTCTTGGGGTCAAAGGAAGAAGATTGATGAAGATTGAAAGAAACAGATACTAACTGGTCATTATCATTTTTTGAGACCGAATTTCTTTTTTAAGATTTATTTTATTTTATTTTATTTTATTTTATTTTATTTTATTTTATTTTATTTTTGGTTTTTCAAGACAGGGTTTCTCTGTATAGTCCTGGCTGTCCTGGAACTCACTCTGTAGACCAGGCTGGCTTTGAACTCAGAAATCCGCCTGCCTCTGCCTCCCAAGTGCTGGGAAGTGCTCTGAAAGAGCAGTCAGTGCTCTTAACCACTGAGCCATCTCTCCAGCCCTATTTTTTTTCTTTTTTCTTTTCTTTTCTTTCTTTTTTTTTTTTCCAAGACAAGGTTTCTCTATGTAGCTTTGGCTGTCCTGGAACTCACTCTGTAGACCAGGCTGGCCTCGAACTCAGAAATCCACCTGCCTCTGCCTCCTGAGTGCTGCCGTTACACCAGTAGCCCAGGTCCACCATATTTTTTTTAAGTGTGTGTGTGTGTGTGTGTGTGTCTGAGAGAGAGAGAAAGAGGGAGAGGGGGAGGGAGAGGGGGAGGGAGAGGGAGAGGGAGAGGGAGAGGGGGAAGGAGAGGGAGAGGGAGAGGG